AGCTAACTAGAGTGGTCCAAAGTAAATGAAGAAAGAATGTGGCATCCTCACTGCCAATGTACCGAGGTCTTTCTATTCGTTGCCTGCATCTGCTGCATTGTGTCAGCAACCGGCACAGCCGCTCATCGGTTAAGGTAATTTAGAATAATGGATCGATGCGATGCACAATATGCTGGTTAGGATACAGTTTACCTTCCGTTTGCCTGGCATGTTTTGCTTTGCGATACTTCGGCTAAGCGTCAGCCACAGAGCGTTAGTTCCGCATTTGCTAAACCGTGAGTTTCAGATGCTACAATCTAATGGTTAGTCACTACAGTTTTTAAAGATTTACAGCGACACAGTGAAAGGATATCAAGAGATAATGGTTCCGAAGAAACCAGTTTTCACTGAGTTGCCATTCAAAAGTGACCACTTCATAAAAGTCAGCGTAAAGAATAAGCGCTTCATTGTAATAGGTATACACTATAGCGGAGCTACACATGTTTATAACCACTAGACCATTGCCTACGTGTTCATTGAAGACACCGGTGTCCAAGCAGTGCACGTCCTGATGTTTATAAAAATTCATATGTAGCTAAGCAGGCAGCTATTTTAGATGCACTGATCGAAAAGTGGATGTCCAGATTAACGAACACATTCCATAGTGGCATTTGCTGAACACCGGTCCCCAGGCAAACCCGGATGAATCATTCACAATTAGCATGCGCAGCCAAAGACCTAATATTATCAAGTTTCTCGATCCCACTGTTATCAATCGACAGCGCCCAACGACCTGCATTCAAAACAGCTGTCGGTGACGCTAAGTTTTCCGGGGTAGAGAGCAACACACAATGGTAATTCAGTTGACCAACAATTGGACTTATGTTAATATGATTTCTTTGTCATTTGCATGTACGTGGTCGATGAGTATACAGCAAATGACAGTGTCAACCCACAACATTCCTCTCCTGATGTGCGTATTCGAAAAAGAGAAGGCTTAACAAGTCCTGTGGGATGGAAATTATTTGGAAAATAAAAGTGAATGCTAGAATGAAATGTGTCTAGTGTTTGTATTGAGGCATACGTAAAACAGAGCCGAGATACGCAGGTACTAAATGTGTAAACCCGTTGATAGAAATTGGAAACTCACCATTTGGTTGCGTTATGTCGCTTCTTGGCTACCAAGTTTTAAACGATATGTGAATGGGACAACGCTTCGCCATGTCTTTTATATATCGTAAGGTTTAGGGCATAGTCAGCATATAATCTGGGAGATTGTTCCCCGGCTAACACATCCGAAGTGAGAGAAACTTTCTACAACTTTTCAGCCGGCTATACTGTAAGATT